ACCCCACCAGGAGGTGAGCAAGCAGAGGTCCAGTAGCGTATAAACAGGTAGGGATCAAACTGAAGCATGGTTAGTAAACAAGCCAAGGTCAGTAAGGAGCAGTCGCAGGTTGGGATCAGGCAGAAGCGTAGTCGAGAACAAGCCAAGGGGCAATAACGAGTGATAGCAAAATATGGATAACAGCAGAGATGATAAGGCACACGATATTGGCTGGAGAGCACAATAATCTGGCAAACAGGAAGTGTAGAGACATGGTTTATATCAGGAAGTTCATGGGAGGAGCAAGGGGTTCAAGGTTCATGATAAACAAGGTCAAGGTAGGATCATCCAAATAATTGTCAAGAGCGCTATCCAGTATTCCAGGTGGCTCAGCAAGAAGAAACATTGCCACTCCCTGCAGAAGACCTGGGTTCGGACCCAGGCTCTGACACTGTCCCAGTTGGGCCTGTCAAAAAGTGTGTGATTATTGGAAGTATAGGGTCCATAATGACATTTGTGGCCAGTGTGCAGAGCCTTAAAATGTACAAACTACAGAAACTTTATTTCCTCTTCTTACCATTTGTGGACAAGTGTGGCTAATTTCAGCAAATGAATTGCAGGGGGATGTCTGTACAGGGGATGTTTAGAGGAGTCTGAAGAGTTATTATAACTCATTAAACCTGAAACCATTTTCTCTCTTTCTCTTTCTCCTTTTTTTGTCTCCCTCCTTGTATGGGGACCCTATAAACAATGTTTTCACAGAAACAGATGTAGTATTTTTTAAACAACATGGGTAGTGATATATGATTAAATGTTGATGTAATTAAAGCATAGTAGAATTGCTCTTTTATATATATGTATGTATAAGTGCATAATAGCCTATTCTTTGACTGATACTAATCAGTTAATGGTCTAGTGCAGCAGCAAAGCAGCATGGACAAAAGTATTTTTACACATTTGTTAGCAATCAGTCTGTTTGTGTAAACACAACGAAGAGGCATATTTATTCCATGCAGCTATGACATCAATCAGCAATATGTTTAGCTTAGTTAAGTAACTCTTTCATCAGTTGCTTTAAAATGACACAAAACTGTTTTTTTTAAAAATATTCAAGTGTGTATTCTTAACTCAGAAAAGTACCTTCTATTGCTCTCAGCGCGCCTTCAAATTTCCAAATTCTTTTTTTTTTTGCTTCTGCTGCTGTAGAAGGTGAAAACATTTATTTTCCATGGTCCCACTGTCTGTAGGAACATAGCCACATTTGCTCTCTCCCAAGATGGACTTTGGACTATGGGATTTCTGGTGTGCAAAAAAGCAGTGCATATGAGAGCAGCTAACATGCACTCCTTATTCCAAACATATTTAAGTGAGAGAGAAAAGGAGAGGTTCAGGAGCTCACGGAGGATTTTACAAGAAGGCAGAAAAACACAGTAAGAAACTATTTCAAGAAAACTAGATTACATGGCCATTTCCACCTGAAAAAAAAAAATAAAAGTCAGCAGCTAGAACTGTAGCTGCTGACTTTTACAATACAGCCACTTATCTGTCCCTCAGTCCAGCAGTGTCCTCACCACCGCTGGTTTCACTGGCTGTCTTCTCTCACTGGCGCCGGCATCTTCAGTGTGGGCACCCGGCTGTGACAGTTTGTGGCTTTACAGCCGGATGCCCACTGCGTACGCGCGCGAGAAGCGCTGCGCTTTGTGAATGGCCCCGTAGTCTTCTGGGATGGGTCATGTGTCCCAGAAGACTACGGGGAGGGAGGGGGGGAGGACGACTTCTGCTTCCAATGCCTAGGCGATCACAGTGGAAGTGGGAGTGGGTACTTGTCAAATTCGGGTACCCGCTCCCACCCCTCTCCCCAAAGGTGCCAATTCTTAATGGGGAGCAGGGAACAAAGGATTAAAGTGGAACTTCCCCTTTTGGGTGGAGTTCTGCTTTAAGTAGTGGATGTGTACGGATTAGTTTGAAGAATAGGGATATCATTTATAGTAATTTTAATGCTGAGGCTGTGCACTGTTATCAACAGCAAACTGTTCAACCATCAACATTTAAGAGGCTGTCATTTCTGACACCATGAACAATGCTACTGGCCTGGCTGTAATGCTGATCCTCTAACTTCCAATACTTTCTAAGGCACAAATCTGGAACAAGCATGTTAACCTGGCATTCTAACTTGACACTTTCTTTCTATTCTGCATGTCACTAAGAATAAAAAATGCCCCAGCATCAGTTGTGTCAGTGAAAGCAAAAAAATGTCTGTGGTGTCACTGAAATGAAAAAATACCCCTGCGCCAGTGATGTCACTGGAAGACACACCACAACAAAGCTCTTCCTTCATTCTCACCTCCCAAGTACAGAGCTTTTCTCTATACCCTGACCTTCCCCCCACCCCACTAGGGATCAGACACAAGTCTGAACTCACCTGAGCTGTTCTTCTGGGCATCTGTCAAAGCTGATACACCTGAGTTCATAACTACTCATCCCCCTGAATATGGCGCTCTACCCTCTCCCCCATCCTCCCCCCACTAAAAATATCCTGCACCCCAATCCCAGTACAGAGCTCTTCCACCCACACCCCAGCTACCTATCCAGTTCTTAGAGTACCGCTGAACTGTGGACAGCAAAATGCCCTGTCGACAGGAGTGACACTGCAGTCACTCCTGTCAGTGAGAGCCAGGGAGAAGGGAACTAGTGGAGCACTTGCCCCTTCTGCTCCTCCCCCATCTCAGCCCTGGATACACTTTTAATGTCAGGGGACAGTTTAGCACAGGCAGTACTTTTTGTTTATTAATTGAGGAGGTGCAGGTATGGCTGGCCATAAAAGCATCGAATTTTGGCCCATTCCCACTGATTTGGCCAAAATTCCTCTGCGCATCGCTCCATAAGCAATATCTAGATCAGGAGCAAGGTGTAAAAATTGTCAGCTGAACATTACCTGCATCCAATCAGAGGCCGCACAATTTGGGTAATCTGCCAGCACTGACTGTCAGATAACAATAGCCCGCGGGGGGTGGGGGGGGGGGGGGGGGGGGGGGGGGAATCATCCATTAAGACTGTTTAGCAGGGATGAAGAAATCTGTTATGCATATAGCCGGCTTTATTCTTGCCCTCAGGATCTCAATGCTGAAACCCACGAGCATTGAACTCCCAGTGCCAAAAACAAATGTATGGAATGAACTATGTCTTCAGTGGTTTATGGAGTGAGTAAACAAATAGCATGTATCCTGGCTGGGAAGAATAGCCACAGGTAAAATGACCCTTCTGTACATACTGTATTACATGCTGTTTCAATAGAAGCAACAATGATTTATTTTTACTACAAATATGAACGTATTCTTTAAGGTATAGTGAGGCAACATACCTTAGAATTGTTGTAATGTGTGCTGGGTAACAATAACAATGCTTTAATGAGCTCTACTTGTTGCAGAATAATAGAAGCTAATATATAACTGTGACTTCTTTTAAAAATGGCAGTTTCCTTTTTAACTTCCTGCACAAGCTGTCCTGCCCACTTCTATCCTGTCCAAATATTTACTGCAATCAGGACATGGCTTCTGCCAAAAGAGGCCACTTAGGAGCGATGAGGGACAGCTACAGGACAAAAGTCAGCGCTTTCCTATTACATTCTGTAAAATTTATAACCAGCAAATCTGCTGCATAAACTTTGGTTAAAAACTGCACTCAAGTAGTGAGCTGTTACATTTGCTGCAAACATTTCTACTATTAACATTAAAAACATAATGGGGTTGACTTACTAAAACTGAGGAGTGCAAAATCTGGTGCAGCTGTGCATGGTAGCCAATCAGCTTCTAACTTCAGCTTGTTCAATTAAGCTTTGACAATAAAAAACTGGAAGCTGATTGGTTCCTATGCACAGCTGCACCAGATTTTGCACGCTACAGTTTTAGTAAATCAACCCCAATATCTATAACAGTAAGCCCTGGTTCACATACGTGCGTTCCTGCGGGCCGCGTTTTGCACGTGCACGAGAGCCTATTTATTTGAATGGACTGCCGTGCCCCGGGACACGCAGGAAAGAAGTCCCTGCACGTCTTATGAAAATGCAGCCCACACAGAAACCTCAGTTCCCAGTACGGTTGCGATTTCCAGTTACAATTAATGGCACCCGTCCGCGAGTCCACATTCTTCTGTGCAGGTGGTGCGGCTGCACAGATTTTTGTGCTGATCCGCAGAGCCACCACCCGCACAGATGTGAACCTAGCCTAAGGTTTGTTCACACAGGCAGCCACGCATCAATAAAAGCAAACCGCTGAGTTGCGATTTTACTGCCCTGTGCAGTAAAATGCCCTGTCCACCTAAACAAGGACATGAGTAGTTGCTCAGCGTTGTACGACAGATGAGGGTGCGATGCTTTGCTTCAAAGCCACAGCAAAAATGAAACCTCCTGACACGTTTGCCGCCATTACTTCCAGTGAATGGGGCCATGCCACAAATGTAATGCAACTGTATGCAATGCATGTGGCTGCAGCACAGTGTTTTTAGCCTATTTAAAGTTAAAATAGGCAGTAAGGAGAAGATATAGTGGATTGCTTTTCAGAGGGGCAGAAGGGGTGCCTCATGTCTGAATGGGCCCTGAAAGTAATTTGTTGAATTGCACCTAAATTCCCTAATTAAATTATATGTAGTGCCCTCTAGTGATAGGCATTGTTGTTTCTTTTTTAGACATTGGCTGGGTAGCAGCCTGGAATGAGTCAGCCTGGGAGTGAGTTCACCTCAGTACAGGCTTAGAGGCTTTACAGGTTGGAGCTTCTGGAGCCCTCCCACCCTTCCAGAAACTGCTAGAACTTTCTGGAAGAGTGTCGGAGAAGGGAGAGAGGCCCAGATTTGCATGTCTGGGGAACTTGGCTAATCCCAAGGCCGGAGTCTGGGCATTGTGTGCCAAGGGCAACCCTTAAATGTTGTAGAGCCTGTGCAGAAGGGAGTTGTTGGGGTCGGGTAGAAGATGGACTGAGAGAAGGTGCTGGAGTGTGGAGCCTGGGAGCCATGGAAATGCAATTATTTTAGTAAATATAAACTGCTAAATACCTTTTCTCATCAGCAGTTACTACAGTCTTGTGACTTCTATCAGTGTTCAGCAGATCACTGGTTACAACTTGTAGGAGGAGGTTTCTATCTGCTCTAGGAGGATGCAGAACCCCTGACCTCTGTCTGGACAGTGCTGATTGGCCCTGTGCTGATCACATGCACTCTCTCAGAAAAAAAAAAAACCTCTCTAGCAATACACACCAACCTGAGCATGTGCAGATTGTCTCCACACTATATGTCTTATCAGGAGATAAGGAAGGGGGCACTGGGAGAAGGGGAGGATCAGAGAAGTCAGGATCAAACAGCATTTTTACACAATGCAGAGAATTAACCCCTTAGGTACCACAGTGAATATATCAAGCATGCTTTACTGCATATACAGACTGATTTTACTGTTGTGGGTTTAGTAACACTTTAATTGTCAGATCTTGGAATCCCTTTGACCAGGGATACTCTCAGTGCATCCGGGTAAAGAGAAAGGATTCATCCGGGGTCTGAGGAGGTACATCAAGGGGACTTCAGTGCTCCTTAAAAAGACAGTGCTAACAACACAAACTCACTTTAAGAACTATTAAAAGTCCACTGAGTACATTAGGGCAATTAAACCCACATTGCCTCAACTGAACACAGCAGAACATAATTGCACTGTACCTGTGTGTTCTTTGATCTGCTGGGCTCTCCGCTTCTGTGAGTTTCTGTCCCTATCCACCGGGCCGCTCACCACTTGTAAAGCTTCAGTGTACTTTTCATTGATCTCACTGGGTCTAGTCCCGCATCTTCTGATTGCTTCTGTTCTCGCCCACTGTCCCGCCCACCACCTCTCAGACCTGTAGAACAAAGCCTAGGGAAGCGTTACAGCTGGTGGTCAGCCCAGCGGGCAGGGACAGAAGCCAACAAGAATACCCGTCACTGCCTATCGCTATCATAGGGGATATTTACATTACCTGTGATAGCAATAAAAGTGATAAAAAAAATGAAAGTTACAGTGTAAAAATAAAAAAGCAAAATAAATAATGTAAAAAATTATTTAACACACCCCCCCCCCCCCCCCCCCCCCCCACCCTGCATGTGAGGTATTGCCGCAAACATCAGATTGAGGGCAGTAATTCTAGCCCTAGACCTCCTGTGTAAATCTGAAGTGGTAACCTGTGGTAATCTAAAGGGTGATGATTTTAAAGTGTCGCCTATGGATATTAATAATGTACGTAGTTTGTCCCCGTTACAAGGGCGTGCACAATTTTAAAGCATGTCATGTTTGGTATCTATTTACTCGGATAATAGCATCTTTTATATCCTATCAAACAATTGGGCAATATATTGTGTTTTTTGTGTGTTAAGTTTCAAAAAAGTGTATTTTTTTAATTTACATTTGAAAAATTGCTGCGCAAATACTGTGTGACATAAAAAATTGCAACACCCACCGTTTTATTTTCTAGGGCCTCTGCTTTAAAAAAAAATATATAATATTTGGGGGTTCAAAGTAATTTTCTAGCAAAAAAATATTTTTTCATGGAAGCAAAAGGTGTCAGAAAAGGCTTCAAGTGGTTAACCACTTCAGTCCTGGAAGGTTTTCCCCCCTTCCTGACCAGGTCATTTTTTGCTATGTGGCACTGTGCTATTTCAACTGGTAATTGCATGGTCATACAGCGCTGTATCCAAATTAAATGTATGTCTTTTTTCACACAAATAGAGCTTTCTTTTGGTGGTATTTGATCACCACTGGTTTTTTTATTTTTTGTGCTATAAACAAAAAAAGTCAGAAAATTAAAAAAAAAAACATTTTCTTCTTCTGTTTTAAAAAAATATCTAATAAACTAAAATTTAGTAATAAATGGAGGCCAAAATGTATTCTGCTACATGTCTTTGGTAAATAAAAAATCCTAATATGTGTATTTTTATTGGTTTGTGTGAAAGTTATAGCATCTAAAACTGTGGTAAAGATATTGGAATTTACATAGCTTTTACTTTCTGACTGCCTATCACATTTCTTGAGGTGCTAAAAGGCAAGAGCAGTACAAACATCCCAAAATGACCCCTTTTTGGAAAGTAAAAACCCCAAGAAATTTGCTGAGAGGCATGAAATTTGCTGAGAGTCCATGATACAACAAATCACCCGCTCTTTCATGTGTGTAAACAATATTTGAAAAAATTATATATATTTCTACTAAACAATGCTACTGTTCAAAAGGTGCAAAAAACACCTACACATAATATATAATGATAAACACAGCGCAAAAATATTACTACAGTAAAGTCCACAATCTTATATATTTCGTGCATTAAGTGCTACAATAAGAAATATGTTTGGAAAGTTTGGAAAGAAGCTTTACTATGGCAGTTGATGGGCCGTTGGACTATAATTCCCAATGCAATCAGGTAGGTGGTAGCATCTTTCCAAATCACTGTTCTGTTTATTCTGCGCATTTGAAGTTTTTTATACACATGATTACGTAGGTATTACATTAATATTACAATTGTACTTTTATGGTAATAAGGGGTGTTACATAGGCAGGCTAATTTCTAATCAGGACTTGAAGGAATGTAAATGTAATGAAAACATTATTAGTGCCATGTGCACAAGGAGTGCAGTTTACAATACATAGGCAAAACATACAAAATAGAATACAATTTTATACACAATTTACAAATTTCCTTTACAAATGCATGCAGAGAAAATCTTTACCCACCAGAGCTGCACCCAAAAGGCTATCTGCAAAGTCAAGGACCAATGGATTTGGTGTGCATTGACTTTCTGTGCTTAGAACCTGATTCAAATGGACAGGGCAATGTCCTGGTGGTATGCCCAGGTGTTCCCAAGTAAAGACCAGCAAGCAAGCAGCATGTTCTGGTAGAGACGTTCTTCATCCATTACAACCTGCCTCAACATGTCCACTCTGACCAAGGGAAAGACTTTGAGAGTAGACTGATTAAGAGACTGCTAGACCTACTGGCCATTCAGAAGTCCAAAACAACCCCATTATCACTGCAAGGAAATCCACAACCAGAACGATGAAACCGCATCCTATTAGATATACTCAGGATGCTCCCTGATGAGAAACAAACTGGAGCAGGCATATCTCTGCAATCATAGATGCCTACAACAGCATAGAGAATGATGCTACTGCATACTCCATGTTTGGGAGAGAGGTCCTGCTACCCATTGATCTGACATTTGGCACATTCCTACATGAGATGTCTATGACATCCCACTGGAGGTATGTAGATCTCCTGAGGAAAAATCTGAAGACAGCATATGAGATGGATCAAGTGGCCTCAGACATCCAAGGTCAGCAAAACAAAAGAAACTTTGATCTGAGCGTGAGGGTGCAGGACATGCAACCAGGTGATAGACTGTTTCTGAGATATGTGGGTATCCCCAGGAAGCATAAGCTAGCTGATTGGTAGAAATCTCATCCCTTTATTGTCTGTAAGCAGTTGCCCAGATTGTCGGTATACCAGACCCACCCAGAAGGACGAACTGGCCCAATAAAGACATGGCAATGTAACCACCTCTCACCAGTCTTAGAAGCAGCTTGTGTGCCGCAGCAAACAGATTCATGCTATGCCCAGTGAATAGATCCCAGTCTTTGCCACCAGACGCAGGGGAAGGGGATAGCAGTGAAGAGGAAGGTCTGCATGGACTGCTTGTGGTTGCCTATAGCCTCAGTGGCCATGACACCCCCTTCTCCTGGGGAAGCAGATCCAGGAACCCTCAAGGCCAGAGGCTCCAAAATACATACCCCAAAGCAACTCACTAGAAAGTCAAGAAGAATCTCCAACCTCCCTAGCTGCAGAGGAAACAGAGACTTCTCAGCCATCTATAGAACCAAAGGGAGAGCCAGTGAGAGAAGAGCCCTCAGAACAGAAAGAGCAAAGAGCAAAATTATCAATTTTTCCCAACCAAGGGACTGACTTACAATACCGCAGGAGAAAGTTCTGAAGAAGCCATGTTCCCCAGTCAAAGGACTCAAGAAATTCCATCCCTTCCCACTGAAGATCTAGTGGAAGGTGACTTAAACTCACCCTCTGGCATATTGAGGTGGGGCATCCCAGTATTGGCCACTTTTGGATAAGACAACCTTGCTCCTTCTAACAAATGGCGGTAGGTTCTCTTGTCACATTTTACAGTCAATGGGAATTACCTTAGGTTGCATAAATGTTGACTTAAGTTTGCATTTAGTTGTTTATCCAGGGTAATTTAAGTTATGGACATTATATACTGTCGGACTCTGCCCCTTCTCTGAGGACCGAGGATTTATGCTAGGAGGAGTGTGTAGCCAGGGTCTTGGCTAGAGACAGAGCGCAGTTTTGGATGCTTTGCTGCAGTGCTCTCTGTGCTGCCAATGAACTTCATCTGTATGCATCAACACTACCTTGCCCCAACCAGGAGGAGCTGACAAGCAAAGGGGGAGCTCAAGAGACTTGATGGTTGGCAGCACGACCTGTGGGGAACAATTACCAGTAGGCCTGCTGTCCTTAAAGGAGCATGGGCTGGTACAGGCAGAAGAAACAAATATACATCGGGGCCCCATTCTGTCAATGAGAGTGAGGTGCAGAGATACGCTGGAGAGGTGGAGTTAGCAAGAGCTCAGCGTGTCCCTCCTAATTTAATCAGTTACAGTCTGATATGGGAACATAAGCTTAGCTGAAATCCAATTATACACTCAACATACACAGTGCATATCTGTCAGGAATGGACTTTCCAGTAATGGTGGGACCCACCTGCCTTGTGGGCTGCAGTACCAAGGCTGGCCAGCGGGTGCTCCCGGCAATCAGAGACTCAACCCTGCAGCCAGCTAACACCTGAAACTGCTTATGCAGGTGTATTTAAGTAATGGCCAGACCTGCAGTCTTTGCCTTGGTGTGTGTGTTTTTCCTGGGCCCTGTATCTTGTTCCTGCATTCCTGTCTCTGTCTGATTCGTTGCTGACCCTGCCTGATTCCGGACCTCTGCTGACTTTCCTGTTTCATCCCTGGCTTGTGACCCCGACCATTCTCTGCTGACCCCCTGTACCTACCTGCCCGATTGTTATTGACCCGGCCTGCCTGACGACGCTTGCATTGTATATATTGTTATCTGTGGGTGGTTTGGTTTGGTTTGTTTGCACTGTGTTATGTTTTAGTATTGCACTGCGTTTATGTTTGTATTGTTAGTGTTAATAAATTATATTACTTATAACTTATCTGAAGTCTGCGTTTCCCTGCGTCAGTCACATACCTCTGGTCACACCCTGGAGCCCTGACATTACACCAAGGCCAATCTGACCAGAAGTGGCTGCACAGGGAAGCCATCTTGGCTTGTTGC